ACCTACGCAATATAAATTGTCAAATCCGAACAAAACGAACCATTTTTCAAAAAATGTATTTGAAAAAATTTTATTGCATGAAAGGGACTCCAATAAATTACAACCTAAGACTAGAACTTTTATTTAGTATTTCACGAAATTGAGCAAATCAGCTTTCGAGGATGAATATCTCAAAAAAGTTGACTGAAAATCTGAAACAAATGAAAAAGTAATGAAAGCAACCTATTTATACAAAAATTTGAAAATCTTAGGTGTGAAATTTAGAAAAGGAATGAACAAAACTTACAAAAAAAAAACAAAAACAAAACAAACAAAAAAACAGAACCAATTCGATCTAATACATTTAAATAAGAAACAAATAAAGCAATTTCAATTGATTTAATTGTTTAGTCATGTAAGCGCGCAAAAAGAGAATAAAAAATCCGTAGTGTAGAATTTTTAGTAATTTGAAGTAGAAAAACTGCTCCTGAGCATAATTTTGCACCTCATGAACACTCTTGCTCTAACTACTTTTTCGATAATTTTGGCTTTTTGATATTATCCATCGTTTTTTTTTTAAAAGCCATTTGTTTAATTTGAGTAAACTGTTTTGTTAATACTTTTATAGCTTTACAGCAACGAATTAATGTTTGATTTACAAACACAATGATAAATTTCTGGGAATTGAGAATGCCGCTGGCTAAGCGTTTATTGATGTTCTTTGAATTGTATCGCACAACAGACAAAGCCGAGCTTCAAACAACTGGTGATATCGCGTAAACACAGCATTGAGCGCTAGTGGATATAAAATGAAACGGAGACTTCTATGAAAAATTCGGAGAAAACGATTTTCTTAAACCTTACACGTTTCTCTCAAAAGATGTTCAATTTAAGATAAAAACTAATTGCTGGCGTGAAATAGCATTCAGAAAAGTTTATCAAGTGGCAACAAATTTCACACAATCACCTTCAATGATATTCATTGAGTAAAACTTTCAAGAAACACAATCACCACCACTAAATAGGCAACCAAAAAATTTTGCCGAGCTGCAATTTAATCGAAATCGTATAGGCAGACGCCACGTCAGCCGAAAAAAATGGTTTCGTAAAAAAATTTCAGTTTACGCCCCGCTTTTGCTGAAACAAACAAATTGATAACAATCTACTTTCTGTTCAAAAAACACAAAATTACGTACATAAGTCAATCACAGAGTTCATCTAATCAAAAAGATCAAAAAATAATCAAACAAAATCCAAATTGGTAAAAAACTGCTCATATATCAGGGCAAAACCCTGAATGTTCCGACTGTCCCTTAATCCAAATCAAAAAAATTTTGGGAAAAAAATTGAAAATTTAAACAATACCAAAAATCAAGTTTCAACTAATTTGAGTCGTACAAAAGTAATACGACCGAATAGCAGGCGTCAATTCAATTTTGAACAATTTTGTTGTGCGGGATAAATCGCCCTGCATAAATAATTTGCGTTACGCTTTCAGCATTATGAATAAAATCTTCAAAACGCGCATAAATTAGTCCAGAGAGCACGACCAAATTGGCGATTGTTCTTCCAGAACTTAACAAAAAAATATTGGAGGTAGAATATCTTTTTGTATTTGACTTCAGGAAGTCAATATCTTCAACGGAATATAATTTTTTTGTCAAAAGGTAATATTTTGATCACCGAAAATTGACTGAAAAAAAACCACGCCAAACATAAATATTCCGTTTTCTTCGAAAGTCGGAACAAAAAATTCAAATTACAGAAGAAGTACCAGTTGTAATTAGAATTTCCTAAATTAGACGATCATTGGGACTTTCCCATTACAGCCCTCCAGCCTGGAAACAGAAAAAATATAGCCCCTCAATGCTGTAATTTTACACTATACACTTTACAAACTCTTCTATTGTACCTAAAATGAGAAAACCCAAAAAACGATGCTTTGAGGAAAGAAATCAGTGCTTAGGAAAGCTAGCCGACAAGACCATAAGACAAAGGGTAGACTAAACATTGGAGTTTTCCTAAATAGAATATCAATTTTCAAACGCGAAAAAAATCAAGATCGGACCGGGAATCGATTTCTTTGCCTCATGTTCCGAAGGCACGCGAATTACCTCAAGGCAAAACGATAAGGAAACTAAAAAATGTGGAGGTTCTAGAAAAATCAAATTCCAGATAACATTTTTGTTTCAGAAAAAAATCTATTTGTTATCGCAAAATTTGTTTCAGAGAAAATCTAATTTCAGACGCAGAGGCAAAGCTTTGCTTTGCAAACATTTGCGAGAGCACGACAAAAAACAGCTTTATAAAACGCAATAATTAAAATTAGAAATAATCCTCGAATTAGCATAAACTCGTCTGCCTCTGAGATTGGAACTTGCGACCAATAGGTTAAGACTCTCACTCACACTAACTACTAATCCACGGAAGGTTATTAGGTACCATTAACCACTGAGTCACAAATAAAGCAGAGAACAGATACTATGCAATTCCCAATGCTACAGTGAAATTTCCAAATAAGTGAACACTTTTAACGAACACTTTTATTTGCGAGTTAGCTTAGAAAAAAAGGTTCGTAAAAACACTAAGCTGATTGCAAGTGTAAATACAAGTATTTCGAAATAAAATTTTTCCTGAAAAAATATGTTAGTCTGAAATTAGATTTTTCCTGAAACAAATTTTCCTGAAAAAAAATTTTAGACAATAAATAGAACTTTCCTGAATTAAAAACGTTTCAGCAACTAAAGAAAATGTTTCAGCAAGCTCTCGCAAAATTGATTAAAATAAATGGATTGAAATTGATTGAATTGAATAAAATATATCGTTCGTTCTCAATTATATATTTTCGTCTAAACCAAGCGCAAAATGTTGCCACCAAATTAATTTACACAGGAAAAAGAATTTTTTTGATATTTTTTATTAATAGTTCTATAATTTCATTGTGCTTCAAAATTCAATTGAAATTAGATTACAATGATAACTATTCGCGGGACTTTATTTAGCGCAGAAAAAAAAGGAGAGTTTGAAGCTTGTACGGGAAAGGAGACACTGATGTTATGTGATTTAATCACTATTAATATTATCAATATTTCTCTAGGTCAAATCAAAAGCTGAAAAGTGCAAAAATTAAAACTTCTGACTAAACAAAAGTGTATTAGATTAAAAATACATGCAGTTAAGTTTAAATTTATTTATGCTTTTCAATCAGAAAAAAATAATTGGAGGTAACAAAAAAGACCGCTGAAACCAGATGCAATTTTTTTTGTTAACTTAATTTTTGAAAATTCTTGTCTGCCAACAAAATCCTGTGGAGTTTCCTTGTCTGCCACAAAGTGCCAATATGTTTCCTCGCCATTCGTTGATTATTTGGTACGATAAATCGTAAATAATTGCTCTACACCTTTGAGGCTTAAACAAAAACTTAAAAAACGTAGTCTCAATGCATTTGGCGCTTGAATGAATTGGGTCCACGGCGGATCTAGGATTTTCTCGAGTGAAGGGGCAGACTTTCAAAAATATTTCGACTATTTTGACAACTTTTTTTAGGTCATCCAAGTTGATTTCCCGAGCACTCTCAGAACACTATGAAGACCCTATTTTGACCTTTCAAAATTAGTATATATTGGCGCGCTCTTAGAAAAATTTTACGGTCAGTCGGCAAAAAATTGATTTCTTAAAAAATGACCAAAGGGGACCCTTTGGGTCGGTAGGGTTCGAAATCCTAAGAAGAGAAGGGGGGTTTCCGCCCTTCCCCCTTTAAATCCTCAACAGGTTGGCTCTGATTGATATATCTCATTCAGGCTTCTATGATATCTCATTCATCGTATAGTTAGTTACTTTGAATTATTTAAATCTTGCAGCCAGAAACAACAGTAAGAAAAGACTTTCATTTTGAGAGAAGAAATGGTTTCTTCGTTCAAATAATCCTGTGAGAGGAACTTTCTGTGCTACGTGCACAGCAACCAACGATTCTTGTTGTTCCAATTTTCTATAAAAAAATAAACAGAAAAAATCAGCTTATTTTGAATGGCTTCATGATGATTTTGAAAAACCTTGTTTTGATGAAGCGAACTTGACTATTAATTTTTTTGCCCAATGATCATATTTTTCAACTAATGTTATCGGGTTATGCGACTAGAAATGAGAAACAATTAGCACCCCTGGAGTCGGAATCATTATGAACTCTAATTAACATAGCCAACACACAGTTGCAAAACCGTCATGAACGCAAAGAAATAGAAAAAAACTCCGACTCAATTTTTGAAAAAATCATTTATCTCAAATTTCACAGAGAGCATATATGGCCTAAAAGCTCTTTGATTTTAAAGATCAATTTTTTATAAACACTTTTTTAATAAAATTAACCCAATTTGAGAAAACTGAATTAAAAGGTAAAATTTTTAATCCGCTGGGAAATCTATAAATAAAATTGGACTTTCGAAACTAGAAGTCGATCACGTTTTTCGTGACTTTTGCACTTTGGCTGTTCGATAGTGGAGTTTGCCTTCCTTTTGGAGTTCAAAGGGGATAAGCCAAAACTTTTTAAAAAAATCATAAATCACACCGCGAAAAATAAAACTTGAGCTTGAACAAGTTTTAAGACTTTTTGAACAGAAAACCAACAAAAAACAAGCAAAAAAATCACCAAGATCTATTATGAGGGTATTCACTACGTTCATGACCCTTGAGAACATTGGGTACTCATAACGCATGGAAAAATGAAAAATAGAAAAAATATATTATTATTATTTTTCATTTCATAAAAAAATTGAGACAAAAAACCATACATTGATAATGGACTCAGCGAATATTCAATATGAGGAAAAGTCATCAAAATGCATTAGTTTGGTGACGAACACTTGTTTATAGAAAAATCATAACTGACGAAATAATTTCTTACTTTCAACACAGTGCGGGTCAAAAAAGTAGGTTCTTCATTTCTCTAGAATATAAATGATCATAACTTTAACTTTTAAGTAAGCTAAAGGCGTTCTGTGAAAGTCACTTAATTTATATCATACCTTCATTTGTGCAGTTCTGTCTGAAATAGCCTTTCCATCGGCCGTTCTGAATTTACACCTCGTAGTCGTGTGAATGAAAGGACCGTCTCTGCATAACATTATCTTTGCCCGTCCGACACTTTCGGGAAACTTAGTGGTCAAGGGGTCGGGGAAAATGACATTCCTCTCTGAAGCATGCTGATTTACAGACTCCATGCTTCGCATCATCTGTTCAACAAGGACTTCGTATTCTCGCTTTTTGTGCTCAATGTCCGCTTTGTGTTTTCTATAGTAAGCTTTGCCTCGGCCTTCAACTAGTAAACCTGTTACATCTTCGATTGATTTTTCTTTGAACATAACACGATCATGCGCGTAAACTTTTCGATTTCGGTTCAGTACTTTCACAATTTCAGCTCGGGTGTTGTTTGTCGTCTTCATTCGTGGTTGTGCGACTTCACGTCGTGCATTGTCAGTGTGGTTTAAATGTGTAGTGCTGTCTAGGTTGTCAAACACGGCATTTCCGTTTCCGTTTTCAAGACTTTTCATGCTTGTTGACATTTCATTTCCATTTTCGTCCACGCTTTTAACCGTCATAACTTTTCGTTCAACGAAGCGAACTAAATGATGTCCATAAATGTCAATCAAATACGCATTGACGATGAATATGACGAAGAATCCCAACGTCAAAGCACCTTCCCAAATTTCGATGACTTCCTTCGATATCACTACAATCATCAAGTACAACCAGACGTAGGCGAAGAGACTCCAGATGGATGTACATAAAAACACGGGGTAGTTATTGATCTTTTTAATGTTTCCGTCTTTGATGGAGCTGACACAAACTGCCGAGATCACCAGCAGGTTGAAAGCCGCCGACCCAACTGTAGTTCCAGGTCCCAACTCCCCAGCTTGGAATTCGTTTCCCATGATTTCAATTGTAGCCAGAAGGATTTCGGGTGCCGAGGAGCCCAGAGCCATAAGAGTCAAATTGGCTACCGTTTCGTTCCACACCTTCACTTCGTATGTCTTCCCAGAGGGATAGGTCTTCAGGTATGTCTGTGACGTTATGACCTCAATTGATTCCATAAAAATGTCGGCAATTACTGACACTCCAGCGAAAAGGTAGAAAAGACCCAAAAGGTATACTGTAGCCCGCAACACTTTTTGTCCCCCGCTTATGTCCTCTACTGGTTTCCAAGCGGGCAACAACACTCCCCCATCTCTGCTGCACTTTTTGGCGTCCACACATCCCGAATCATCTGAGCTGTTTGAAGCGTCGCAAACAAAAACCAAGGACAGGAAAATTGCAGGAAGAAGAAAATTAATCAAAGGTTTCATCATTTCCTTGTTTTATTTGTGCGTGCGGTTTTCTTTGAAGTTATTGATATGTTTCAAGGTAGGTATGGCAATGTCTTAAGGCAGAAAAAACATAACTTTAAAATGCGTTAATTTCATCGAACAGGTAAGATCGCAATGTAAGCTGATAATTTTTTTGGAATTTAAGAAATGAAGTCAAAGAGCATCCCATTTGCCATCTAATGCTCGAATGCAAATTTAGCTTCAGTGATTTATCTCGAGTGTTGCCATGAAAACAGTTTGCAAAATAAATGAATATTTTTATGACTCACATTTTGAATAGCCAAGAACGTAAAGCCTTATACAAGGTTTCGTAATGTCACTATAGGTAGGAATATTTGACAAAAACCTTCTTTTGAAATCTGAGAGCGGAAAAGAAGAAAACGGTTTAAATGTCGGTAAGCTCAAATTCTTCTGACAAAGCAGTGAAAAAAGCTCTTGGCGACACTCTACAAATGGCGCTCCTAATTGTTTAAATGTTCGAAAGAATCTAGCCCATCAATTTGGGAAATTTCAAAGACTAACTGTGTATGTAATGGTCATTTAGTTTATCTCAAGCGGAAAAAAAATTTACAAATTATGTTGAAAAATTCAAAATCGAAAATGCAAATTTGATTATGTAGGTATAATAACGTAAAACCTCTAAGTAATAAGGTAAAAACGGAATGTAAAATTGTTTTAAAATTGATCCAACTAAAAAGAGTGTTAGTTTTGTCTTTTGAATTGATAATGTTGCGGTTATGTAATGTAATGTCCCACTTCTGCCTGATTAAGATAGCAAACTTAACAATAACTCACTTGAAATTTGAAGGTATTAGCGCGAATTTGAAGTAACTAAAAATATTACAATTTTCATAACAATGAAAAAAGCTTGATGGAATTCTTGACGGTTCTTTGTTTATTTTAGATTATTGAACAGGTGCATGCTTGAAGTATTCTGCTTTAGTGGTCGAGTATCATCGGCTTAGCTCACAGGACAAAGACTAGCGAAATCTGAGCACAACCTTCTTTTGAAATCTGAGAGCGGAAAAGAAGAAAACGGTTTAAATGTCGGTAAGCTCAAATTCTTCTGACAAAGCAGTGAAAAAAGCTCTTGGCGACACTCTACAAATGGCGCTCCTAATTGTTTAAATGTTCGAAAGAATCTAGCCCATCAATTTGGGAAATTTCAAAGACTAACTGTGTATGTAATGGTCATTTAGTTTATCTCAAGCGGAAAAAAAATTTACAAATTATGTTGAAAAATTCAAAATCGAAAATGCAAATTTGATTATGTAGGTATAATAACGTAAAACCTCTAAGTAATAAGGTAAAAACGGAATGTAAAATTGTTTTAAAATTGATCCAACTAAAAAGAGTGTTAGTTTTGTCTTTTGAATTGATAATGTTGCGGTTATGTAATGTAATGTCCCACTTCTGCCTGATTAAGATAGCAAACTTAACAATAACTCACTTGAAATTTGAAGGTATTAGCGCGAATTTGAAGTAACTAAAAATATTACAATTTTCATAACAATGAAAAAAGCTTGATGGAATTCTTGACGGTTCTTTGTTTATTTTAGATTATTGAACAGGTGCATGCTTGAAGTATTCTGCTTTAGTGGTCGAGTATCATCGGCTTAGCTCACAGGACAAAGACTAGCGAAATCTGAGCACAGCCAAATTAAGTAATGGTTTTTGACTATACTCGGGGAAAACGATCACTATGAAATTTTGCGCGCACCAACGATTGGAAGCAAAACTGCAAAGTGTAAACCTAAATTCAAAAATCCAAGAATTTCAGTCAATACAAATAATTTCAAAGTTATGATTTGTCTTCACTGCAGCTCAAAAAGTCAACGCAAACAAATGCAGAAAACTAAAAAAGGGAAAAGAAATGAGTAATGAAAGAGTAGCGGTATTTTGACTTATATTGGTTTTTAAAATAAATAACTGGTTTGGTTGGTCAGTAATGGTAAGTGTAGAATGATATTCCGTTTTTTGGTAATAAAACCAGCACTTTGTTTGCTCACACATCTGATATGTATGGATGGTTTAAACAACAGTTTCCAAATGCACCAACACGGCTATTCAGTGTTTGATGCGTTCTGGTTTTTTTTATACTGTAAGTGGATCACTCAAACCGCGGCAACATATGTTTGAGTCCGCACAAAAATTCAATATGTGATCCATTTTATGGTTCAGTCTTAGCACAATAAATGCTAAATTGGTATAACAGTTTCACAGCTTCCTGGGAGAGAAATAAAGAAATGGAGAAATTATTGTTTAGTTCAGGATGAAACAAAAACCAGGAAAAAAGCCGATATTTGGGCGCATGATTGGTTTAATTACTAACCAAGGTGACTTGAGTTTTTCTAAAGGGTAAAAAATTATTTGGTTCGTTTTTTTTCTGTTGTAGCTTAGTTTCCGCAACTTAATTGTTTTTGCTTTTGTTCTCATTCGTGTCAAATATAATTCGAAATAGAATTCGAGCGAACCATATGTGCTTGAAAATATCAAAAGGCTATTCAGAAGTAACAACGACGGACTTTAGTGCTGAAAAGCATACCCCGTAGGAAATAATTCAAAAGCTAGTTAATCATTAAAAACACATTAAATGACATTCCTCAGTCTATATTTGAAACAGTTTATTAAAACTTAAAAAAAAGACTGTTTCAACTAATTTAGTCAGCAGATTACGAAATGAATGCAAATCGCATACTCACCAAAGTTGTCTGCTTCTTTTTTTAAAACGTGATACAGGAATGGGTAAATGTAACTCTCTAAAAATAACAAAAAATTTAAGATATCTGTTTTGACTAGTTAAGATTAACTTGTTATTTTTGTTCCGAATTTCGAAGAAAACGAATTATTTATTCTTGGTGTGGTTTTTTATTCGGTCAATTTCTAGCGATCGAAATAATAGTTTTTAACACAAATGCTTTATACAACACAGAAAAAATGGACTCCCTGAATCAAAATACAATGTTTTTTTTTCTCCAACCGTTTTTTGCAAGGTTCTGGAAGTTTGAACAAAGGCAATTAGGCCATCCTCTGGACTAACTTATGCGCGATTTGAAGATTTTATTCATAATGCGGAAAACGTAAAGCAAATTATTTATGCGCGGTGAAATAGTCCTCACAACAAAATCGTTCCAAATTTAACTGCGGCTATCTAATCGGTCGGATTAATTTCATACGTTTCAAATTTCCACACTTGATTTTTGATATTACCTAAAATTTATGGTTTTTCAATCATTTCATTTCTTAAAAAATGTTCGATATGAATTAAGGGACGGTCGGAAAATTCAGGGCTTTGTTTTGATATACGAGCAACCTTATTGATTCCGAACTTAAGCATGGTCCGATAACTCAATTTTAAATATTTGCCAACATACCAATTTTTCTGAGCCCTCAAAATGAGTCTGAACAGAAATTGGGGTGAGCAGTAGCTGTTAAAGTATCACAAAAGGCTCACCGCAAAACAGCAAAAACAACCATTGCGACCAATTTAAGTGTCCGAATTACTTTGATTGCCTCTAAATAATAAACAGCAAGAATTGTTGTTTTGAGATTAAAAAGACATTTCAGCGTTTTTTGATTTATATGAAAAATTTATTTTGTAGGCAGGTTAGAGCTTTGCAAGGGATCTGAAAACACATATTTACAGTCTGTAAAATCTAAGCATTTAGTTTCTGGTAGCTTTAACAGGGATCAACATTGCGATCTTTTCACCATCCAAGCCGAGCTAGCTTCATGAAAATATTAACCATTGATATTAACATATTAACATTGATATCAACATTGAGACCCTTGGAACTCTTTTTCATGCATTGATCAAAACCTACCATACTCGCAATCAAAAAATAAAACGCTAGAAGCTACCTCATTTTAAACTTTTCCATTTTAAACTTTTTCAAAAAAATAAATTTGCTTTGTTATTAACAAAGCAAGTTTATTTTTTAATATTAATTCATACAAATTATAGCTGCTTTCATTCTAAATACGGAGAAAACGCCTTTGCAGGCAAAATTAAATCTCCAATCAATTGATTTCTTAATTTCAGAACTGTCACGGTCTTTTTTGAGAAAAGTGCAAAAGTGAGTATGAATTTAAAATTATTGTAGAGAATAAATCGCTTATGCAGGGGATATCCTTACAAGAAACAAGTTTTCAAAAAATGGAATTTTCTCAATCCTTTTCTCAATTATTTTCTTTAATAACTAGGGCTTAGCCGCTATGCAGAAAAAATTAATAGTACCTTTTCTTTTGATTGAATTCCTGATCTCATATTGGCAGGGTAGTTTTCGAAAAAAAAATTTCTAAAATCGGGCAAAATTTAAAAAACTGAACATTTTCTAAGGCGTTAATTTTTGTCATCAAAAATTTGGGCCAGACTACTTGTCCAATAAAGATTCACAAAAGCCGTTTTTTGTTTGAACACTAAACCTCAGATTTGGCAAAGTATTTTTTGAGAAATGTCGAAAGTATCCAAAATACGGTCAAATTTTCAAAGTTTGGTCATTTTCTAAGGCCATAATTTTTTAATAAAAATTATGGCATAGAATCTTATGCAGGGAAGATCAGAACATGTTTTTTTTTCTTAAACGTTTAATATTAACATTTCAAGAAAAAGAAAATAATCCAAAAATTGAGTCATAAATTCCCCTTTCTGAAACTTTGAAGGCGGTAAACTTCGGGTAAAATAAAAAAAGATTCACATAAAATGCAGGCGCAAAAAGGAGTCGCCCATTCTCCAGTTTTTCGAAAAAAAGTAATATAGTTCTGGATGAAAATTAAAATTTTCGACAAAAGCGCAAAAAATTCCCAAAACGTCCAAATTTAACAATAAATCTCATACATTTTCATAATAAATATTTAATGAATCAAAACTAGCCACTAACAAACAAGATACCAAGAAACAATGGCATTCAGCAAAACTAAATAAAATAATACAAAATAACCACATAAAGGACTTTCATTTGCGATTTTGATACAAAGTTCTTAATATGAAATCGCTCCTGTAATTAGGCATGATCGACAAAAATTTTCTTCACAAATGAACAGAAAATAAAATTAAACATTAAAAAAAACATTTCAAACTTATAGCTATATTTATTTGGATTTTCAAGAAAAATCTGGAAAACTTTTCAAACTTTAAGCAGCCATTTTTTTGTTTTCAGTTTAAAAGATTTCGGCAGAAAACGCTAACATAAACTTTGGAAACCAGTTTCACTGGCGAAAACTAAGTTTATAAAGCAATCAAAGCTCTAATCTCTCGCTCGCTAAATTAGGCTAAAACTCAACCTTTAAGCCATTTTTTTTCGAAACTGGGAAAGTCTTTGATATCTTTTTAATGACGTTGGAATCATGGCGGGCTTCAATAAGATATACCACTCGAACCATTCCGATTATGATTTTAAATACCTGTTTTTGGTTTAAAAAAACAGGCCGGATTACAAATGTCCTCCTTTTTTTCAAAGCTCGAAACAAAAATGGCAATTTGTCCCGAAAAAATCCAAGAAAGAATTGAAACGAGGTAACAGAGTTAAATACACATTTTCAAAAAAATTCAGATTGAAAATGGCTCTATTGAATAACTCAACCGAGGTTCAAAAACTGTTCATGAAAAAAATGTAAAATGGGAAGTACTAATGCTTCGAGTAATTCTCACGCAAATCGAGCACCACAAAAAGATGCATATTCAAGCCCTTAACATAGCAATACAATTATCACTGTCAAAAGAAGGCTGTTTGAAAATTTAGACTTTTGGTTCATTGGCTTACTTTTGTTCATTGACCTAATTTTGTATGATTACAGAATTAAGTGTCAAGACGATTGTTTCGGGTTCAACTCCAAGCTCATAGTTTTGTTACACTAATAAGGTAGTCAAAATTTTCTGTTTTACTTACACAGAAAGCGATGATTACTTTCGCTGTGATAAGATTTGTTGAATTCCTGTACGTGGTATTCAACTTTAATGAACTCCAAATACAACTTTAATGAACTCCTGTACATAA